AAGCATTTGTAGCGTCACGTTGACCGTAGCCTATATCTATTATGAAAAATCATCCAATTGCCTATATACACCTAAATATACCAATTTACATTTTCAATCTCTGCAGTTTTTTGCGACAATTCTCGATCTCTAGCACGAATCTGATCTCGTTGTTTATCTATCATGGACCTCAAGTGTTGCAGAACGGCTACGTCAACCTCCTGACTAGCTGTGATAGCTGAAAATTAATGCAAACGGTTATTTCATTTATTTATATATTTGTACATTGTTTCGTCAAACGTATATTTGCACGTTTAACAAAACCTTTTAATGATTACTCGATTACTGGATTAGTAACAGGTTAATTGGTGTTAGTACTTGTTTGTTTACTGCTGTACTGACTGTCGCTACGTGATTCTTGCAGAGCTTCGGCTAATCGTCTGTTTTCTTCCTGTAATCTAGTAACCATGGCTACTAAGTCACGGGATTCTTGTCTCCAGTGTTCTTCGATTTGCTCCAGTTCCTAAAAGAATCAAATCAAACTTGACAATACTTAATACTACTGTGCTATCAAATATAACGATGAATTACAAATCGCATCGAGATCATCGTTAACGATGCCGATGTAACGTATAAGCTAAACCTTTTCAAATCGTTGCCTATCCTCAGCCTTCCCAATCTTGTCGCTCTCAAGCTGAGAGATCTTGGCACTCAGCTCCTGTACCATGGTATTTTCGCGCTCGTTCTTGGTGGCGAGATTCTCGAGTAGCTCTAAAGCGTTTATCACCTTTGGCATCAGATTGGTAACCGACTCCACCCCAAACAGATCTATGAGCTTCTCGCATTCCTTCCCTATCTCCGATGCGATGTCGTACACGTCCACCACCGACACGTCAGACGCGACAGAATATTCTTCCATTTTGCAAGTTGCGTTACCTCTCAGACAAAAAGGCATGAATACAACTTTTTGGCCGCAGCACGCTCTACGCGTAGATCTGCTCAGCGCTACGAGAAGGTGGTCTCATAGAGACGTTTCGCCGTCTCTAGGATTACGCGATTACGCCTTTCTACGGATTCGGGGATCCGAGCGTTTCTACAAATCTACACCCTCGTGCGATCTCCGGCGACTCCGGCAGAGAATCGTGTTACATACAGGACGAAATTACAGATAATATAATCACAGCCAAACTGCATGGAGTATCCTGGAGTATCTCGAGGGAAAACAGGACTCCCTCCTGGTACGTACGTTGCAAGTGTACGTGCCTGTAGGTTTGCGATAAATAAATCGCGTGACTTAGGTGTGGCGTTAATTGTCAAAACGACGGAGCCGGTGTTCGTGCGTCGACGGACGTTCACATTACACACTTGACGTTTCCAGATCGTATTCCAGCCCGGCAAGTGCAACGGACCCCGGTGATGTCATAGCAGCTCCATCAAAACGTCATGTTTAAATTCCGGTCGCACACACGGAGAGAAGTCACGGCGGAGCAGATGATTGAGATTATTCACAGCGTGTGTGTGTGTACTGCGTGAATGTGTGCGTGCGCGATTCATCGAGCCTACAGCGCTGCGAGCTGCGAGGAAAACGCCTTCTCTCGGAGCACCACGAAACGTTGGACACGAATTGTTTTTCCTATCGACGTTCTCGTAATTTGTGTATATCTATTGCAGTTATTGCACAACGAGGCGAAACAAATCGCGAAATATGGAAAATTTATATTTTTTTACGTACACGCCATACCCGCACACAGGTATAATAGCGAGAGAAGCTGACGTTTTTATTTTGACAACAGGTGCTTATCTTCGTTGCTATATATGATATGATCGATAATCGTGCGATACGCGAAAAGATAACACTCGACACTTAGGGATTTTACAAGAATCTTTTACGCATCAGCTCCTCTATTTTTGTTCTAATTGTAAGGCGAATCGATATCTTTATTTATTTCATATAATCCAGGAACTTATATCCTCGTCGAGATATATACGCATGAACCGAAAGATAACGATCGTTCGATGATCGCGCAGTAAATAAAAGATAACGTGACACATCTTGAGAGACTTTAAAAGATGTTTTACGTCAGACTTTTATTTTAATAATGTAGAGGGTATTTATACGCGGTTCTTAATTTTAATGATTATAGATTCGTCTGGTGCCTCGACGTTTCAAATGGGAAAAGATTAGGACACGGCTAAAAATGAGGCGCTCCGTCGACATGTTGCTGGTTGCATAAAAATACTCAATTGAAACGTAAGCTCAGGAAGGACATATATAAAACTTATAGCGGTATCATGAAAGACTATAGTTATCGTGATTTTATTCATCACTTAAAAATCACTTTAATGCCACTTCGACTTCATCATGACTTTCTTTTTGTTCTGCTTAGGAAGGTGATAACTGGTAACCATAGAAGTATACCTATTGTTGGATCGTTAGACGTATCCGGATAATTATGCGAGTAAAGAGATCGTGAGAAGATCATCTAAGAAGCCTCAGGGAGAAGTGATATCAATCATGAGCGAGCGAGAAGACATCGCGATTTCGATAATTCGAATGGAGAAGCTTTTGTCGGACGTCACAAACAAGATAGAGAAATCGGTATAATTTAACGTTATAAAATTTGTGAATTAAACAAATACATCGTGTTTTTCCAAGAAATTATTAATTTTCTTCGACGCGTCTTTTTTATTTGGAAAAGTATTCTATTTAGACATTTTCTCCGGTCAACCAATCGACATGTTCGAAAAAGAGTTGCATATCAGTATCAGTCTGATAACGCGCTACCTTCGCGCTGAAAATCGCCATGTTGCGTTCGTAGAATTACATTTGATTTCAAAATTATCCCCACTGTAACAATTGAACGTTGAATGTTAATTGTGATCCTGTGTGTTCGAGTCATCCTCTTTCTTATTGTTATTTAACAGATTGAAAAACTTGGCGCCCACGATTCGCAGTTGCTTCGAGAGATCATTGATCTCATTGGACTTCTCAAACAATTCGTGATATCCCGCATGAAGAGAACTCCTGAAGTAGAATGCACGCACGCTATCAATTTGCACGATTGCCGGACGAAAGTAGCGGAAACTTTGGCGGAACTTGAAGGTAAACTGAATAAAAAAATTCTTTTGTTGTAAAAAAATACGCATTATTTCGGACGCGGGCTAAAGATATCGATTGATAGCTTTGCGGGAGATGTCTGGAGAACAAGACTTGAGCTCCGAGATCCTTCTGAGGGATATCGTTACCTGCGTAAACGATGAGGAGGAAATAATGCGAAGCATCAGAGAGACGTCAGAAATAGAGATACCAAGAGAAAGGTACCAAAAGATTTATTATTTACTTAAACCAAAAATCATATCGCTGTAGTGTGTTCTAGAATTTCATAATAAACTTTATTTTTATAAATGGTAGGGAAGAATCAATGCGGGAGATGCTGATTGTAAGAGAACGAGAGGAAGCGCGAAAGGAACTGCTACGATCTGAAATAGATTCGGCAGAGCGCAGATTGCACGACGTTACAGAATCCAATGCGACATCCGAGAAGAAGCTTTTTGATATATGGTAAATCCGGAGTAATCTTTATAAAAAACGCCTTTTAATTGGAGAAGATTTATTTGAGGAATAAACGTCAATTAATTTTGTATTTCAGCGCAAAAGTCGAACAAGAATATATCACTTTCCTTGCTAAATATGATTGCGACATCGGCGCGTCTCATACGTTGACAGAGGAACTATCGAGAGATAATGAAGCTGTTAAAGCAGAAATTAAAGAAATGGAGGTTTGTAATACGTTTAATCTCGAATTTAATATGTTTTTAATATGTATAATTCTGCCGAGCTGTCATTGGTTTCTTTTTTATTAGGATCAGCTGACCGTGCAACGGGAGCTGTACGTTCGATTTAAGAAGGAGCGAGAAATCGCGCTGATGATAGCTTTCACCGAAAAATTGCAGCTCTTTAGGCGCAATCAAGCTGCTAAGATCATTCAAAGAGCATGGAGGGCGTACTTCGAGCGTATTTCCTTAAAGAAACGACGAAAAATGAAAAGAAAATAACCGCTTTGTCAGACTTCCATCAGCTTCGTGTCTGAATGAAGAGATATATGACATCAGTTTATCAATATATGCAATTTTCACGCGACGAAGCAAAGATACAGCACCGAAAATAATTTTTTATGTGCTAACAAAGACACATAATCTGTTGCCGTAATGAGAAAACTAGATAGAAGGAAAAAGCTAGTGACGACGTTATGATGGTTTATTTTATTCACTGAGTTGACAAAGCATAGCCGCTCCTCGTAAAATCCAATGTTCAGCTGGCTTCACCGTGGGCAATCGTACAGCTATGACGAAGTTTGTGGAGTGACCAGTGGTGGATAATACCCCGCGACGTTCGCTGGTTTTATAGAGCGGGCAGACATACGATCGTCTTTCTTCGATATCCTGCTTCCTCATCGGTATCAGCAACAGCTGGAAATATTGGGTAAAAGGTAAGTTTTATCTCATTGATCTATAAACCTTCCTTACGGAATAAATACACTTACAAAGGGTACGTTGTCGTAAAGCACTTTGGGAAAGCTCTCATTTATACACATTTCCTTCATATCGAATCTTGCGCCGTCCAAAAATAGTCCGTAAATGTAAGCGCCATCCTCGGGCGCGATCGTGACGACAGTCTCTTTCAGGATTACGAAATCGAACGTGAGAAGATCTATAGGGATCTGATACTTTCGTGCGTAATTTTGTAATATCCCAGTTAGAAACGCTTGCGTAAAATAAAATCCAGGTAACCAGAATGTAACGGGCGGTCCTTCTTCATACCATTTCTACATAACAATAAATTCATACATATACTTTAAAATACTTTAAGAAAAGAAATAAAAGTAGTACCATAGAGATAATCACCTGTAAAAATGTTAAACGTTGTAAAAAGTCATTGATATAACTGCCCAAAGGTTTTAAAGAAGGGTAAGAATTTGCTTTCCACAACAGAGGTAACTTGCTCGTCAAGATTGCTCCGTAAATATCTTCAAGTTCGACGGACATTACGATCAAACCTACGTTATTGCAGGATTGCGATAATATAAATAATTTTCAAAAGATGTTATTTTAATTTTTATCACAATACTCTTATTAGAATATGAAAGATTGATTTGATAATTTAAATTAATTGACAATATCTCGCGTGCATTTCTTTCTTCGAGGAATGAATAGATATACCTTTGATAGCTTTTCGTACATTGATAAGGCTACTCCTGATACAACGTAATAATTTGTTGAATCTATCTATCTCTTGCACTAACACAGTGTTCATGCTTTGGCTGTATAACGTAGGGTATTTAGCAAGTGCTGCAACGACATCGTAATCATTTGGAAGCTTATCTAAAATTTCTGTTGCAACACCATAAACTATCTCATCGTCAGAGGTTTGCCTCAAACCGGATTTAACGGCTTCCTAGGAAAGAAGAACATTATCTTTGTTCAAATTATCTTGATCCATTTAGAATTTTATCTCATGCGCTCAGGAAGAATGAGATCAAGATTTATTATAGTAATCCATGATATCTGCAAGTCGTAATTTCGAAAAGCGATATGTAACATACCTTAATTTTCCAAAGATCCTGAGAGCGAGTAGTAAAAAAAGATAATCACATAAAATACATAATTATAAAAAATTTATTAGCGGTTAGTATAATTAATCAAATTATAAATTAAAATTCCATTATTTTTTATGGTAACATCATAATTACATACCGTTCGATCCTGAATAATGTTTGATAAAATCAAGAAAAACGATGATAATTATAAAATGTAATAATCGTTATTTTCTTAAAAATTTAAGTATTATAAATTTACTTGAGTGAGCAGCAATGAAGTGAATAGCAGGTCTGTCTCTCGCTGATCTTTAAGAATATCGGCATTATCATGCATGCCAAATACACTTGGTTCTGTAATTATTGGAAGTTTCCTCGTATGTGCGATATATGCTTCGTATTCTCTGGCGATCGGACAGTAATAAATAGTAGACGATGCATCAAAGTAGTATATTTCATCGGTCAACAGTTCCCTGAGTAAGGACGTAAGTAATAATCTTTTGATCGATTGATAAAAGTTACCACAATTCACTAATACTCACGGACAATAGAACTTGGACAGGATAGTATTCAGTGTTCTACGATCCCATTCGTCCGTAACTCTGCCTCCATAGTTGCATTCACCCGTGAGATACATCAAAGCGTCGAACTGCACGTCCTCGTAATCGTCCAGGAACATCTTCAATTGCAGAGCGCTGATCCTCAGATCGGTCTCGTTGAATTCGTATGGGATGTTCCAGCCGATCGGGCCGAACTTCCGTCTCTCTTGTACGATAGCATGGAAAAAACACAACGAGTACAGAAGCTTCTTGAAGTACTCGCTTTGAATGCAGCCCTCGAAGAACTCCAGATTACTGATTGGATCGCTCGCGTAGGATCTCAAAATGTTGGCCCTGAGTCCTTTAGGCGGCTCGTTCGTAATCTTGATGCCGTTCTGGAGAACCGATATAGGAAAATGCTCCGCTGGATAACTGGTTAACCATAGCCGGAAGTCAGGATGAATCGTATCAGGTATCAGACCCTCGCATATCTTCTCCAAGGTTGGCATCCAGCTCTTGGCCAAGTGACAGTTTTGCAGTACCACCCAGTTACCGTGCAACACACCGTTCTTTATCAATCCCTCCGCTATTGGCCCTTGACCTGAAACAATGATATGGTTAATTTCACGCGACAAATCTTCACGCGGCAAACACTTACCTTGGCCGAGAGACAAATAGAAAAGACGTTTAGCACCGTAGCCTTGCTCGTCAGCAAATGTCCACAAAGTTTGTGCCGGGTCGGCGCCGGGAGTCAGGATGAATATCAGTGGAATGCAACAATTAGAATCCGCGAAGGAAGATGCCAAATCAAAAGCTGGTGCTTCTATGTATTGCGTGCCCAGTTGTTCTACAACATCCGCATTATCGGAATAATCATTGATGTCCGTCCAATTTATTCAATTGATATTTACTTGTTTTTTATACCTTCCACCAGCAACTGCACTGCTGGGATAATTTTATCGGGACGGATACATCGCAGAATTAACAGTCGTTCGAATAAATTTAAACTGTCGTATGGCGCAGGGAAGCGCTGTTTCTGCGGTTCTCTCGAGTCGAATATCTTCTTCCACTCGCCAACAGCGTTAGAGAATGATTCTCTGATGCCCTACGATAGTGCATTTTATAATAAATATCAAATTTCTGATTGATTATACAAAAATTTACTTCGAATCCTTTAACATTATCCAGTCTGCACAATTCGTCCCAATGCTTGACAAGCAGCCAGTCGGCGGGATTAGCATATGGATTCTCCAAACCTATCCCACCAGTTAATAGAAACAACCACTGGTTCATTGTTTTCAACGTGTCGCTTGTTTCGCGCAGATTAAAAACGAGAAGCAACGTAAACAATAGCTTATCCTTTTCAAATAAAGATCTACAGATGTTGACGTAAAGGGAATATGTGAAGTATTTGGTCAGATTCTTCAGACGTTGCTCGATATTATCAGTCACCTCTGTGTGATCGATAGCCATGTTGAAGAGATTCACAAACCAGGCCAATGAATATTGATACATTGGATCTACGTTAGCTAGAGACGCTGCAAAAAGAATAATCCGGTTAAAATCTATTTAAAACTTTCGCTTAGAAATGTATCAACAACTTTTCTTCTATTATTGATCAGATTGATCTTCCACGATTGATCTACCTATCGTGAAGAAGAGTATGGTCGAATAGACAGCGATAGATTGATACTGCAATCTCGCGGCGTCGATCAATTTTTCCGTAACTTCTGTGGCCGTTTGCTTCACTTGAATATCATCGCTCAAATTTTTGGACACCATTAAAATATCAATAGCTTCCTCGTCCTCCAAAATGTTACCTTTCGCCACGGAAAGTACTTCTAAGATTTTATTTTCTGTCTCTTTCAACATCCTATCATAACATCAGATAATGTAAAAAATGATATAAGTGAAATGCATAAAATCGAAACGTATCAAAGAAAATACTTTTTGTTCGCGGCACTTTGTACAATCAAAGCGTTCTTTTCCGATTCCAAATCAGGCCTTTCCTTCGCGACCACAATACCGAGCAACTGATCCTCTAGACCGCTCGGTGTTATCATAAAATTCAGCAAAGTTACTCTTACCGCTATTTCCGGCAGATAATGAGGATTCCTTAACTTTGTCGTGATGTAAAGCCTGTGTGTTATATGTACCAATATGATAAGCATTATACATTATATATTATGTGCAAGAATATTTCGTCTCAAGTTTCCTGATCATATGTCTTCTTGTATATATGTAAAACAGATGCAATATTTTTTACGCATGTAATTAAAGCATACCTAAAATTAGTGTTATATTCTACTACGGTGTCGCCCAATTTTACACATAATGCACCAGCATGCTTGAACGTCTGTTTGAGAAGTATCGGCTCAAGAATAGCGTCTAATTCCTCTTCTACGTTTTCCAAGAGTACCGGTTGCCCAAATTGTATTGCGTTTTCCAAGGTCCTCACATAATCAAGTTCACTCAATCGAATAATGCTTATATTGTTTTTCTTCTCCATATTTCTTATCCATTTATTAGCTTGGCTTTGTGGATCTATCATCAGCGGCCACCTTCTGGCATTTCTATAAAAAAAAACAACGTTGATATTACGCGATATAACATGTTACTGAAATTACAATTGACTTACGTAACGATAATTCCGTTGTCGATGGAAAATACGTCGGCGGGCAACCCGGCGATGTTCCACGATCTGATCAAAACCGGATCGCCGAGTACATCACGCAGATGGAAATCGTGGCTGCAAATCATTTGCATATCCGAGCACAATTGCACCCACTCGCTTATCTGTTGGACACGAAACGGCATGGTGAACGGGCCCAAATAAGCCACTACACCGGAAGCGATTAGCACATCCCCCGTTAGCCGATAATATCTATATAGAGAGTAAAAAGTCAAATTTAATGTGAATATTTGCAATAATCAAG